GGTGCCAGCCCTGGACGGGAGGGAGGAGCGGGAAGAGCCAGCCAGAGGAGCGCCCAGCAGCGGTCAGCGGTCACCGCCGCTCGCGCGCCTCCTCCGCCTGCCGCCGCCGCTGCCGCCACAGTCCCCGCTGCCCGGCACGGGCGCCGCACATGGCATCACAGAGAGTGGGTGCCCAGCCCCCGGCTCCCTCCGTGGGGAGCGGGTGGGGGAGGGGGGCGCCAGCTTGGGGAGGGTGGGGGAGGGGAGCGGACGGCACCGACCAGACACCCAGAAACCGGACCCGCAGCAGCGTCTCCCCGCGCAGCTCTGAGCCACAGCAGCGGCTGCGACAGAGATTGGGGGGGGGAGCAGCGAAAGGGGGAGGGGGGAGGCCCTTAAAGAGACAGGAGCTGCGGCGCAGGGGGCTGCTGGGGACAAGGGCCAGGGGCGGCCGGGCTGTCTTCTTGGGGAGGCAGGGAGCCCGGGCTGCTGGCCAGCTGGGAGGGGCCGCTGAACCCCCACAGGCGCCTGAACCCGTCTCCCACCAGCACTCGGGAAATGCTGGGCATTGCTGCTCTGCCCTCACCTCCAGCAGGTTCCCCATGGCGGCCTGCCTGGGGTCCCAGCTTAGGGACACCCACTCCTGTCTAGAAGAAGGGGTCCCCTGGGGAAGGGAAGCAGGGAGAAGGGGTGCACCTTGCTCTCACTGAAGATGAGCTTAAAGAATGGGTGGGAATACAAACCCTGTGTGGTAGGTAGCCTTCCAAGCCGACACTCCCCTCACCAGCCTCTCTCACCCCAGAGAAGCCACCAGCCTCTCTCACCCCAGAGAAACCACCGCACCTGCCCTCATCAACTATGGGACCAGCACTGGGGAACTGCCCCTGTCTCCTCCTTACAGGTCAAGAAGAGGTCCTGAAACATTAAGTGACAATCCCACCATTAAGAAGTGGCAAGAACCCTCTCGTGTTAGGGATCAGAGAGGGGGAGGGGCAAAGGAGAAACACGGCCTCTCCGGAAACCCACCTCCCAAAGGACGCCCCTGGTCCCTGCTCTTCAGGCTGTCTGCCCCTTTCCAGCCTCCTCCTAAGCATTAGTCACTCTCCATCCGACAGGCTCTTGGCTCCTCTCCCTCACACTTCCCAGCACATCCCAGTTTCAACGTGGGAAAAAAGGACCTTGGCTGGTTTAGGAGCCGCACTCAACCATGAGGAACAGGCTCAGTGCTTGGTCCAGGGTCACACTGCAGCCCAGAAGCCCCTGGGATCTGCCAGTCAGTTGTGAACCCAACCATCCAATGGACTTGTGTATAACGTGGGGCCTGCTACCCAAACCGTCCTTTGGTCTCCAGGCCTATTCATAGACATCTAAAATCACAGATATACCCTCTGTAACCATCGCTCAACATCCACAAACATCATAAAATTTCTCTTTCTCTGCCAAAGGCCACTGTCCATCTACTTCCAAAACAGAGGCAAAAAAACCAAAACCAAACTCACTGCCGGGGAGTCCCAGGATTTGCTATTTTGTGCTGCCCTCTAGTGGCAGGCTGTAGGAACAGACCTTAGGTGAAGGAGTTAGAGGCTCAGGGTTCACTTAAGGGGAAAAGGGGCCCTACCTCCGGAGTATTTACTGTATACTGAGCACTGTGCAGGGAGCTCTGGTGGCCTAGTACCTAAGGCATTTGACTGCTAACCAGAAGGCTGGTGGCTCAAACCCACCAGCCACTCCTCAGAAGCAAGGTTAGGCAATCTACTTCCGGAGTGGAGTCCGACTTGATGGCAGAGGGTTTGTTTTTTTTCCGTTTGCGCACTGTGCAAGGTAAATTATGTTGATTCTTATTTATTCCTCCTAGACAGTCTTCAGTATGGACTACACCTCAACATAAGAAAAAATCCTCACAACTGGACCAGTAAGTAACATCTTGCTGAGTGGAGAAAAGATTGAGATTGTCAAGGAGTTCAGTGTACTTGGATCCACAATCAACACCCATGAAACCAGCAGTCAAGAAACCAGATGTCATATTGCACTGGGCAAATCTGCTGCAAAAGATCTCTTTAAAGTGTTAAGAAGAAAATATGTCACTTTGAAGACTAAGGTGCGCCTATTCAAGCCGTGGTGTTTTCAATTGCCTCATATGCATGTGAAAGCTGGACAATGAATAAGGAAGACTGGAGACGAGATGATGCCTTTGAATTACAGTGTTGGTGAAGAATACTGAAAATACCATGGACTGTCAGAAGAAGAAATACATCTGTCCTGGACGAACTGCAGCTGGAATGCTCCTTGGAAGCGAGAATGGCCAGACTTCGTCTCACCTACTTTGGTCACGTTGTCAGAAGGGACCATTCCCTGGAGAAGGATGTCATGCTGGGTAAAGTGGAGGGTCTGTGAAAAAGGGGAAGCCCGCAATGAGGTGGACTGACAGTGGCTGCAGCAATGGGCTCAGGTTTAGCAGGGATTAAGAGGCCGGTGCAGGACCAGGCAGTGTTTTGTTTTGTTGTCCACCGGGTCACTATGAGTTGGAGCTGACTCAAAGGCACCTAACAACAAGAAAGATGGTGGCATCCTTGTTTTATAGATGAAGAACTGAGAGGTTGAAAACTGACACAACTTGCTCAAGGCAATAAAACTATGAAAACTGGAAAAGCTGGATTTCAAACCCATGTTTGCATGACTCCAGGGCCAAAGATGAACAAAACTACAAAAAGGTACTCAATGGGGAGGATGGGAGATAGTGGGTCACCATCTTTACTTGAAGACCACAAAACTGGTCAAGGAATTGGGGTTTCGCTTTTGATGGTGTGGATTAAAGCAGGTAGACACAGGAGCTTGTTTTCTGCCAGGAATTCATGTAGGTTCTGTTCACTCCCTGTCATCCTACTGAGGATGGCTGAGATCAAGGGCTGAGGGGGCCCCTCACTGAAACCTGCAAAACCTTCACAAGCTAACAGGCAGGACTGCAGGACTGAAGTAGATGTTAATCTTAGTGACCCACTCTCTGTTTTCTTTACTGTCAAATGCCTCAAGCGTCACACCACCAATATCCTTATCATTCTCCCTTACTCTCTTCTGAGGAAATAGTTATATCCCTAATGGTGTATTCCTTAAAGGATAACTCTTCCCCAATTAGTTGTAGCTGGGAGCCATAGCCCTTTACAAGGGGACCCTGGGTAAGGAGACACTGAGCCCTGGGGCAACCAAGATAAGGAGAAAGTGGATACAGACATCACTGCAGACAAAATGGCTTGCAGATGCCCACATCCACACTCTCCCTCCGCAGAATCAATCTCTCTAGACAGATGCGAGGTGCCTTAAGGACCAAGGACAGTTTCTTTATCACTGACCAGAAGAAGGGTTGAGAAATCACAAGACAACTATAACTCATCCTGTAACAAAAAGATAACATTACCAGCATTCTTAAGACCTACCCCCCTCTCAGCCAAATTCCCTTTAAAAGCCCTAACCATTCCCCACCTTGGGGAGACATTCTGGAAAAACAGTTCTCTCTGTCTCCTTGGTTATTGATACTCAATAAACCTTCTGCTTTCCCTCTTGGACCTGTTGTGATTATTGGCTCTTCGCGACGGGGGCAAGGATTTTGTTATCTTACAACACTACCGCTGTCCAGGGTTCAGGAATTAAAAAGCCAAACCAAACTCACCGCCATTGAATCAATTCTGACTCATAGTGACCCCCACTGGGTTCCCAAGGCTCTAAATCTTTATGGAAGATTAACTCTTGTGTTCTCCGTGACTTCCACTGCCTGGATCATTTTGTACTGACTTCCTCCCTATTGTATATTGCCTTTCCCTTCATCCAAGTTAATACCTGTCTACCCTCTAGTTAGGAGCTCTGGTGGGGTAGTGCCTAAGGTATTTATTTGACTGCTAAGCAGAAGGCTGGTGGTTCAAACCCCCAGCCACTCCTTGGAAGGAAAGTTGGGTAATCCACTTCCATAGTGATGTTGTTGTTGTTATGTGCCGTCGAGTCAGCCCTGACTCATAGCGACCCCTCCTTGGGTTTCCGAGGCAGTATCACTATGGAAGTAGGATTGCCCAACCTTCCTTCCGAGGAAAATAATCCATAGTGATACCGCCTTGGAAACCCAAGGAGGGATCGCTGTGAGTCGGATCTGCCTTGGTGCAGTGAGTTTGGTTTGGTTGGCTTTTACCTTCTCATTTGTTCATAATTTGCCTTCCCTCCCCCGCCCACCATGCTAATCTTCAAAGAATTATTCTTTCTGTGTGTAAACCTTTTCTTAAGGTTTTGCAGTTACAAAAATCACATACAACAACAACAACAACTGGCAGAGTGAGGTGCCTCTCTGGACACTCATCTCTCTTCCACAGAGCAGCTGGCAGGTTCAAACCACCGACCTTTTGGTTCATAGGCAAATGCCTTAACCACTGCACCACCAGACATTCAGCTTTGTCATACAGGTCATACATTTGCAGACCAAGGCCCCGATCCAGCCGCTGATGTTTTGTGTGGCCATGATAGTGTTACCAGTGCATGTTCTAAATTCCAAGCTCTGTGGCAGTGTTTTTAAAATGGAGATGTTTCACA